CAAGCCAACACCCCAGCTTGTCAACACCCAGGAAGAGATGCTGACCTGATTGTCACAAGGTCAAACAAAGAATCTACTGTATTCAAGTGAACGATGTTGTCCAGAAAAAGAACTGCTGCAAATAATGGTACATGTCACAGGCTGTTGTCCACATTTGACCTTGTAGGATTATCCTGTGATTGGCATTTTTGTCATAAAGTAGTTGACCTCCCCTATTAACAATGGAATGTCTGTGTTTTCCCTTGCATGTTGATCCCAACCCACTGTAGAAAGTAGAGAGGATAGAATTACTTTAATCAGGGGGTGCCTCAGTCAGAATAGTCTTTCGGAATCTTAGTGATGTTTTTAACCCATTCCTACATTATGTAACCCCCCATTGACTGTTTGAACTGAGGAAACACAGATTAATGAAGTACTACAGCTCTGCATATAGGCATATCAAAGTTTCTATTTTAAAATTATATTTTCTTGAAGTAAGTAGTGTGGCCCCTCTTGTCTTACTCATAGAAGAGAGTAAAGGAAGCCATATTGGATATGTAATAGGGTACTGGAGTAACCTGTCTCTGCACCAGTCCTGTCTCTATTCATAGAAATTTGGTGGGTATGTCTTTGATAATATCTAAGCCTTCTTGTGTAATTTTAGTATAAATATGTAGGACACTGTGTAGCCTTTATGGATGCTTGTTATGATATATACTGATGGTGTTCAACACATTTGTAGGCAGTACTTTTGACAAGACTTTACTTAAGTTAACAGCACCACCCAGTCAAGGCCTCCTGTTTAACCTATTAACAAATGGAAATGATCTATTTAACTACTTAGACAGTTAGGCTGATACCTCTCAAGTTTGTCTTCACTGAATTTTCCTGGATTGGATTTGATGATTATAAATCTTGACAATATTTAAATTGAATTTTTAGGGAGGTAATATTTTTTTCTTAGAGGCTGTTGATTTCTTTCTTTCTCCTTGTGTTGCTAGTGGTTAGACTACTTACAGTAGCCACAGTCTGTGATTTAGAACTGATACTATTCGTCATCACATTTGACATTAGTCACACTTCTACTTGTACCACAGCGAGTTATCACATTTGTTATTTTCAGTCAATTTGATCTCTTCACGCCGTTTTTTTGTATTTTTATTCAGACATTCATTTGGGTACTCGAATATGAACATAAAATTGCTTTGGCTATTCCGTGTTTGCTTTTTGGAAACGTGTCGTTTATAAATGTGCTTCCAATTAGTTTGAATCATTGAACCCTTGTGTAATTGGACATGAATTTCATTTATTCATTTGTCAATTTATAAACTTAATAGTACTCATTCAATGTCACTCAGATGTCCCTGTCATCTAGCTTTAGTAATGTAATTACAGAATAAAATGGAGAGAAAATTTATTCATTGAATTGTAATTGGTGGGGTAATACTTCATGTTAATTTATAGTGTGTGGTTGACACTTTTGTATCCAACTGCCAATAAAAAAGGATACATGTATACATGGTTGTCATTCTCCTGGGGACACAAGTGTGCAAAATAACAGCTGTGCAGTTCCACTGGAATGTCTGACAGTATGAAATATAAACAAATTACAGAATTTCAGTCTGCTGTAAGAATCTTTTTATAATTTATTTTAATCGTATTTGTTAGAACAGATTTTACAGATTGTGATCCAGATGGTTATATATTTACTCAGTTGAAGTTGATAAAATTATTTATCCATATATGTATATGTAATAGAAGTGTGTAGAATAGAAAAACAAAATGCTTTATTAGCACCTTTGGAAAATATGTTTGTGGTTTTGTTTTGGTATTCCAGAATTATTGGAAAACTATAATAATAATGTAGTTTAGTGCATCTTTAAATACAAGTTATTATCAGCATGTAGCAATAACATTTTATGAAAAACTAGATTTTATAGGGATTTTAAAATGTATTCATTGTAAAGAGATAAGAAAAACCTAAAAAAATACAATTTATTAAAAATCTCTGAAATTTTTTTCCGTTGATACATTTGGTGTGTTATTTCAGATTATATGTCGAAACCCAGTTGTTCTTTTACATAACCAGTCAAAAGACTTTGATTGGTGTACTGATTGAAGTCGTTTCATGTGGCAGAGGGCCTTAAATAAATTAGCAGCATGATATGCCATTTTTTTCAAATCATCATTTACTCTCATTGAATTTGCTCAGTTTTGTCACTTTATAGGTGATAATCCATCACCTTTTTACAGCATAACAGTCAAAGTAGATAAAATATAATAAAGTATGATTAAAAAAGCATACATTAGACGATAAATTATCTGCGACCAAATACGAAGAAATCTTTTATTAAATTTTTTTGGGAAATAATTTTTGACTATTGCAACTGTTAAAAATGACATCTTGTAACATTTTTTTTATTGCTAATGATACTTTGTACACTGTCTATTCACATAAAAACTGACTAAAAAAGATGACAGACTCATTTTTGAAATTAATTCTGTTTGACTCCAGAACTAAGAAGAACATAACAATTCTGAGACCCATCGCTCCCCAGAATTTATATATTGGTCCACCCTTACTTAAGGGTTGTTTGTAATGGCGGAAATATGGTATTACTGTTCTCAATTATAGAGAGTCGGACATGTGTATGATATGCTTAAACCCTGAAATATCAGAGAGAACGGTTATAAGAAAGTATGAAATGAATACTTGTCAATGAAAAATGACACCTTGCTTTGCATCAGTCTGAGTGTGACTGACACCAGTGTATAGTGTAGTAGATAACACAATACTCTAGTATGTGCTATATTAGCATTGTTATGTACAATACATAGTGACTAATTCTGATCCTGGTTACATATTCATCCTGTCTTCTCAGCATCCTTTCCGGTTACTTGATAAGAAAAACATGTTTGTTTGCTTTAGTCATGTTTGCATTCAAGTCTAGTACCTGCTTGTATGCGTACTATGCTGTTCAATCATCATGTGTTATAATGATGTCAAATTATTTTAATTCCGTCAGACAAAAATGTTTTAGTAGTGAATTTTTCATTTGGATTCTTAAGATTTGGGCGTCTTGGTGACATTCATGATATATTATTATTAAAGTCAACACATTGTTTATTATATCAATATTTGATGCATTCATCACCACTTTTGACTATTAGTAATAGTATAAGGGTATGTAATAATCATTAGAACAATCACCAGTACATTACCTACAATATGTACCATGTTTTAGTTTGGGATTGAGAAATTAGGGCTGGGGCTAAGATTGAAGTTTCAGCTTGATTTAGGGTTTAAAATATTGTTAATATAATGATAACTTAGCAGTGTCCTTTTAAAAATGGCTGCATATATCAAACTCCGCATTTGACCAACACCAAGTGTTCTAAACAAGGTATATAATTAAACACCAAGTGTTCTAAACAAGGTATATAATTAAACACCAAGTGTTCTAAACAAGGTATATAATTAAACACCAAGTGTTCTAAACAAGGTATATAATTAAACACCTAGTGTTCTAAATAAAGTATATAATTAAACACCAAGTGTTCTAAACAAGGTATATAAAACACCATGTGTTCTAAACAAGGTATATAAAACACCAAGTGTTCTAAACAAGGTATATACATGTAATTATATAATCTGAACATTATTGTATCATCTGCTTTCAGAGAATTCCCTGTAAATTGAAAACTAGATCACACTCGTGAGGATCATCAGGTATTCTGTAATCCACAATTCTGAGACTAATGGCCGTGTGATGTATGACAGTCTTGACCTTTGACCCTGTTCAAAATTCAATTCTTGGTATCATGTCTGGGTAATCTGTTAATGGGTATATTTATGGTTGACAGTTTATGGGGATTTGACTTTTAAGAGACTGGCACATACCAGCACATACTTGTAAATCCTTTATCTGTAGTTTTTCTCAGGAACATGTGTATCACATTTCATTTACTCTGAAATACTCCCAATTTAAATATTTAAAATATTAGGGCAATAGTCAACGTGAGTCATGGTGAACAAATTATATGATTATGCTGTGTTTTTGCAATTTGAAAACTCACGGGTGTTCGCCTTGCCCAACCGCTGTGAAATGGTAGCAATTTAAAGTGGTTATCTGTTAACAGTCAAAATACTATAAGATGTATTTTACCTTTAACTGTGTTAACCTTTGAACTTCAAAATCTGCTATTAACAAATACCTACAAATTGACAAATTAAACTCGCATTTTGGCTAGAAATTATAAAAAAATACTTATAAGTCTGCAAAATGTTGCACCAGCCCCTTGGCCCTAAAAAGTCACGAACAATTTACCTGTTATCTATACAGGGGACCATTTCTCTAATATTGTAAATATATTTTCATTCATTCTGTGTACCATATTTCTCTATTTGTGGTATGTGACGTTTGACCCCTTCCGATTCTCTAGTGGGTGATGTTGACTGGCAGGGTTAATTGTGAAGTATTCTCCATTTATAGGATGGCGTATCTTATTTCAGTGTTATCTGGACTGAACAGTTTAAAATAAAATGATGCTACATCCAGTTCACAAAAATGGCTGTAAGCTAGAAATAGGACACACATAACTTAGCTTTACACATACTCCCCCCAACTGCGTCTGCACATGCCCTCTCCCATACAAATGTGGGCCCCTCACTTACAATATTGCTTTATTTTCACAAAAACTTCTTGCTTTAAACTTTTCACCACCAGACATTCTTGCACAAATTTTTCTGCACTTACTTTCTTATATTCTTATATATTTTGTGATGAAAAGAGGGAACTGGTGGTGAAAAGTTTAATTGAACAATCTGCAAAACATTTATTTTCATTCATTTTGTATTCACATACCTCAGATACTCAAGGTCTTTTTTGATGAAATCATATTTCTAATTGCCAAATTTGTTTAAGGGAACACTACTATGATCATAATAAATTGACAGTGCAAGACAATTTATTGTACTGAGTAGCATTAACACATCATTTATTTCATTTTCTCTCCAACAGATGCATTGTTAGCTGATCTGCAGACAGCAACCTCACACCTGCAGCCCAAACAACCACCACCACCACTGCAGCAGCAAACACCGACTGTAGCCGAGTCAATTCCTAGCAGTAGCTACCAATCAAGACATCCACCACAGCAACAGGTGACTACAACAGTAACAACTCATTATCATAGCAACAACCATTCACCATCATCCCCACCGTCATCATCGTTACCATCAAACATTTCATCACATAACGGAGCCACTCAGGTAGGTACAATGTCTTTTATAGTTGCTATATCAAGAATCTAAAATTAATCTTCATAATAATTTCAAATGTCATTATCAAGGATTTATAAGATTAAGAAATGCAAAATCACATTCGAATTGAAAAAAGAAAATTTACATATCTAGGAATCCCAATTAAAATTATTTAGTCAGTAAAACTACTGATTCATGTTCATCTTATGCTGTTATTGGTAGTGTCAGTGTTTATTCCCAAATTGTTGAATATGTGTATTCTCTGTTTTTCAATGTGGCAATAATCTTGTTCACTCCTGTTTATGCAATTAAACATTTCCAATCATCCACTACGATATTGGTTAGAACTACGTTTGATCAAAATGCAGGGAATTGAATTGTTTTCAAACATTTAAATGGATAGTTCTAGTGTGGGATGGAAAAACTTTGTCTAACATACTGCTTATGTTAGGCTGAATAGAAAATTGAGTAATATTTACTGTAAAATCTGTATTAAAAGTCGGGGCTTCTAGTAAAATGGCACAATGCAACAGAGGGGATTCTATTAGAGCTCTATCTTTCTCAATTGTTCAAAAAGAATGGGTGCGGCTTCTATTTGGGATGCAGCTTCTAATACATATGGGAGATATGTAGAAAATAAAAAAACTATTGAAAAAATGTAGAAAATAAATTGTTAAGGCCAACTGGGTATTTTTTCTGAAGAACAAGTCTAAAGTTTCATTTTATCTTCAGTTGGGCAGCATGGGCTTAAAAGACAACTAAATAAAAATGTTTGGTTTAGACAGATGTA